GAGTTTTCTAATAAATTCAAGGACCTTCTGTTGTCACCCTCGGGGGTAAATACATTACATAATTTGTTGAATTCAAAGTAATGCAAATGTGGTTAAGACACACTCACACACGAAAATACGTGGCTGTGCGCTACGTGTACTGTTTGCTTTCGTGAAATTTGCATACAAATGCTAAATGAACCTCATGCATATGCGAACCACGTTAACTCGTGGATTAATTTTAAAATCTCCTTTATTACGAACGGGAAAATTCAATGTATACTCTACCCTACGAGATAGCATCTAGGTCTGGGTCGATTGCCATTTTAGGAATGTGTTAATTTAGCATCACACGGATTGAGAAATAATTTGAAGGAGAGAACATTTTATTCACAAATCAAATACAGCAATAAATCTGTGTTAATGGAAGTGACATTTCCAGATATACAAAGGGCCGAAGTAATTGTTTCCGAGTGAAGATAATTACGCGCATAAATCCCGAACCATATACTGCGTTTGACGTGTGAGGCTACCATAAGGTGAAATAACGACACTAAAAAGATTTATTGTTCCAATGATTCTTCGAATCTCGCCATCAGGTTTTTGGTTGTGAGATAATCCCAAAAAAACAAAATCCCCTTTTGTAGAAATCCTTCCGGAACAAACGAAAATCCTTGCATTCGTTCCCTAATCAATCTTTTAGGCAAAATCCTTTCTGATTTCCTTCCACGGGATTCCGACACATTTTCTTTCCACAAATCCAAATCCTAGTTAAATATTAGAATATTCCCTATAAATCGCCGACATTTCATCGTGATATCTTAAGATTTCTATTTTTTGCGATTTTTTTAAAATAATTGTAAAAAATTGTTATCTTTAATAAGTGATCAAAATTCGGATTGAATTCAAAAATGATTATCTCAAAAACTAATAGAGTAACGAAAATACTTAATCCAAATCGGAACGAAATTGTATGTATCAAAGCATCCAGTTCATTTTAGATCAAAGATGTACGGGCACTTAGCCGACTTCTACAATTTCATCACGCAAGAGCTGAGTGTATTTCTAAAGTGGTTTCTGTGAAAACTTCCACTACGACGTTAACAAGACTAATTAGAAGATCATATTTTCTTCTTGACGGAGACTCTTACTTAGTTAATAAACTTATTTACATATTATTCGAATAATTTCTTAGTTTTAATCACTTTTCTTTTCAACCAGTTAAACCAACACAACACCAAACATTATTTCAATCTAATTCTATTCAAATCCACCGCAAATATTCACAATCAAAATAATCAGTATTAGTCAACTAAGCGAATGAAATCGTTTCCTATTCAAACCACGATGGATACAATTGGATTGAGTATAATCGATTTGTCCCCGAATTTGATGGGTAAATTGTACGGGACTGGTAGTCTCCTTGCTTTTGCCTTAAAGGGCATGTATTGAGTTAGAATCGATTCGAATTTATTTGAAAGGACCGGAAGCAAGCAACGAACCGATTTCTGGCCAACTAAAGAGTATCTTCGAGATTGTAAGATAAAGTCGATCGGTTGATGGACCCCGACGGGATTTGTGCAGGAATTTCATCAGGAGGATTCCCACAGGATCAACGAGTCGATAAGCGGCCCGTTTAAGTTCTTTTTTCAGCGTCACCAACAACTTGGCAAAACACTTTCGCTTACGAAAGTCGAGATTAAATCAAATACGAGAGCTTTTTGGTAGAGGATGACGTCTCAATATCCTTTTTGAGATGATTGATCGTCGTAGAAACTGAAAGATTCCTTTCAAAATGCTGCGTTATCATCATCTTAGGGAGAAAGAAAAGGATGGTTGAAAATAAGGAGAAACATCATCTTATCTACGTTTAAATAACTCCATCTTGCGTCAACCAGAGAATTTACATTTAAATGGAAAAGATAAAAGGAGTGAAAGAGGACTAAAGAGACCAATTGAACTGCGAAATTAGAGGTCGGGACGAATTGATTGATTCCTTTTTTTTGTTCGCAACCTCTTGGAGGGTTTCAGGGTATTCAGGATAATATATTGTTAGGCTGACGTTGAGGCCGCGTTGGGATAATTTTAAATTAGTTTCCTCCGAGTTGGGTTGTAAAATTACTCACGGCTGAATTACGACTAGATCCACAAAGGACACCTTTCCTCTGGTCCTTCGGATCTAAAGTCGAAGATATAGAAAGTTCGAAACTGTAACACACTCGCTTCGTTCTGGTTAATTATCCTTTTAACACCGTAAAGGAAATGTTACTATGTCGGGTCTCGTTACCAGATAATTGCCGTTCTGGGGCGCGGTTATTATCGGGGAAGGATATCGTTAAATCCCGGAATTACCTAGATTACAACCATTACCTAGAATATTGCTGTGGTAAATTATTGGGTGTCGAAGAAAGATAGAGAGAATTTTTTGACATCCTTCTTTTCCAGTAAATTAATGTACTTGAAAAATATTTCAACAATATGTGAAGTCATTACTTCCAGAATTCCACTTTGTTCCAGCCAGGAAACGAACGGAAATCAATGAGGCGCATTCCCTGAAATAAATGAGGTACAGCACAATACCATTGAGGATTTCTTCGCGATTCTTTCGGTCTCTCCATCAGTGTCAACGACTTTCTTTTTAGAAAGACAAGGTAGCTATACAAGGCATCATTGCCACAAACTACAATGGTGACGCAATTAAACCCCAGGCCGTTAAAAATAAACAATAAACCGGACCGAGCTGAACGTGGAATGCAATTTTCATGCAAATCAGTTGACGGCATGCATTTTGCATAGAATTTATTGGAACGGCTACGTCTGCTGAAGTTAGAATATAAATTTAACCGCAATTCTTGCGTGGTTTATGTCATATGTGCTCATTCTCATAAAGTACTTTGTTTAAAAAATAGAAAAGATTCTTAAAAATGTCCCAAATCCTTTTAGAGTTAATACCATTGGGTGTTGTAATACGAAATAAAACTTCTACCCTTGGATTTTTCAACTTAAAATGAATCAAGTTCCTGTCCAAATCGAGGTTGTGTATTGCAATTCCATTATACGCGAAGACAGGGGACTCGGAAATAAATCGGTTTTACCCAACCTTTCCATAACCAATTTAAGTATGAGTTATCGCCCCACCGGACCTACAACGTGCACTCGCAATTTTTACTCACAATAACTTAACACTCAGTAGTCCCTTGTTACCGCAATCCTTTCATCGAGATTGTAACTAACATTGATGGTAAATTGGATATTTGAAAAGGTCGAAAGCTTAGTAAATATAGAAATGGACCGTTCAAACATTGAAAGCAATCGGGAGAATTAGCTGGGTAATGATGTGAACGTCCAATATCCATCGCTATTGATCTATCGTGCGTTTAGGTTTAGTCATGTAATGTCCGCTGTTACAACGGAAACTCTGTGAATGTGTGAATACACAATCGCATGTATATATAGCATCGGTTAGCTACAGAATGGTTATGTTAAATTATCTTGTGGAAACATACTCGTCTGTATACTAAAATATGGGCAGGGATTAACAGATTATGTGGGTATTACAACGTAATTATAACCATCAAGTAAAGATGTTTAACGTTTAAAGGTAACCTTTCGACTAATCTTGTGACTTTTGATAGTATTTAGAGGATATACTGAATTATTAATTAACATAATCCTTATCAATATTTATGAAACACCACCTCAAAGAAGTACTAATATCGATGTAACACAGAACAGCGTATTTAAAATTTTGAAGCTGTAGAACCAACAAAAGTTATACCACAATAAGCACCAAAACACAAGAACTTGTAGAAGCTAAATACAACTCTATTTCATAGATGGACCATGTCATTGAGAATATTCTAGGTCAAACTGAAACGATGTGGAAACAACATCTAAATAATAGAGACAAGGAGACACTCAAAAATGTTCTCTAAATTTACTCGTGTATGATGTGACCAATTCTCATTTACGCCGAAGTAATGGGGTTGTCTAAAACGTTACCCAGAGACTTGGGTTGGGTTGGTTATGAAAATCAAGCTAAACCTATCACATTTAAAACTACATATTATTACTTGAAGTAAGATTCTTCACCCACCTTGGTTCCAAAGTAGTAATAGTTATTCTAGGCTGGTCATGTTCTGCCATCTCATGTTTCCGAACATACACCATGAAGCACTACGAAGCAATGCTATGAAGAACCTTAGCTTCGAAGCTGTCAAACATGCGAAATTAGCCGTCATAAAATCTTTATGATTATTACCAATAGTAATCAATCTGTTTTTGCTCTAAATAGGTACTCTAAAGTAGGTTCTCATCAAATTGATGAAAAACACACAAGGACTCAAGAGTGTCAGAACCTGAAAGAGCTGTTTAACGGCAGTGTTGAGGGCAAAAGATAAAAGATGCCATGGTATCATATTCCAGGGAATAAAAGATAATTCGGCTAGTTCAAAAAATAAGCAGTTGTTCAAGTTGGATAAAAACTTTAATACAATTCTAAAAATAATTACTCTTACACTACAATGTAATCTACATAATTGATTTAATGTTTCAACGTAATTATAATCAAACACTTTACTTATGCATATTTAATAGACTTTTTGTTCATTGACCTCAGAGTCATTGCAAATAAATGGATGTACGATTATTCGTAATTTGCTGTGGTGAATTTAATGGAGAGAGATGTTGGTATTGTTGTCGCCATGGAGCCCCCGCCCGTTTGTTTACGACGATCGAGATATGTGACAGCAAAACGCAATCAATGGAAAGTTATTTCTAGCGACCAGCCCTTTTGTAGTTCTGGCGTCCGTTCCTTTTTCAAAAAGCAACTTTTGTTTATTATTTTGGCGTTTTGAATCTTTTGATGACGATTTCTATCTCATCGATTCGACGAAAACAAAAAAAAGGATATCTAAAAATAATTCTAAGCCACCTGTTAAGCGTGTGGTAATGAATTTAATTAGATCGGAGTGAAGGGAAAAAAAGTGTTGCAATTGAAAAGATTGAAACGAGAGACTTACCGGGTTGAAATGAATGAGAAATTCTCGAGGTCTTATTGGGAAGAACAACGGGGTGCACTCTACTGTAATTACCGAGCTTTAAGCGAAGAGCTTTGTGAGAGTTGGATCGCGTAGTAGCTTTGGCGGCCGGAGACGGAAGCTTTCCAGTTGAAAGCTCCGGCGATACTGACTTGTCGCTCGCTCTAACCCCACGGAGGCGGTTGCCTGGGTAACCGTCAAACCACGCCTACCTAGATGTCTTTGCGGCGCGGCGCGTTTTTTGGAAAAAACCGGACGCTTTTCCGCGTCGAAAATTGAATGGGTTCAATTAAAAAAAGCAGCTCCTCGCACGTCGTTGCGTCGTTGCCCGGGGAAAATTGCAACCAAACGAGTGGAAATAAATTACCACGAAAACTACGGCAAGAGAAAAACCCCAAAAGCTTCGAGCTTAATGCGTTTTTTGACAAATCGACGCTCATACATTTATTCAGACGAGTGAGGCGAGCTTACGGTAGATTGCGGGTAGTAAACGGTGAATGTATTTAAGAGCTTTTCATCAACCATCCTTTAAACTGTTTTAACAAAAAAATACACAAAAAGAAGTTTAAAATATAAAGAAGAATCATCACTTTTTTGATCGAATTTATGATAAATGAATGAGTTTTACAGGTTACAAAAAAAGTAAAGTAATTTGCTTTCCACCATATTATGGGCTATTACTTGAAACAGTTTTGTTGGGAATTGAAAATTTCGAAATAGCACGCGACAATTGCTTCCAGTTTATTGCTAAACGGTTTCACGGATTTATTACATCTTTTAGATTCAATTACTTTAACAATACGTATATATGTTCAGAGTGACCCAAAATGGATGTACATTTTCGTAATATTGTGTTCTTACAAGGAAGAATCATTAAGGATTCCGGTTTCCCTGGGGTAAAGATAATCCTCCACAACGTCTTATAATTTGTTTTTGCCATTAATTCTAACCACCTCATCTCCGTTAGTGAACCGAACCCTTTGTTTGGGGGAGGAATTTCTCATTAACGACTAAACATTTACCACTAGAAGGAGACGATATTAAATTACACGTAAATTTCGAAATCGATTAAAACTTTAAAAATGACTACACGAAAATTCGAGATATTTTTGGGTTCGATCGATAGGGAAAATAGAATTACATCCCCGAGTGTCCGCCCTCGTCGATGTCGAAGTGTCCGGACTTGTTATTCCGGCATCCCGAACTATCGAGACTAGAAATTTAATAAAATCGCAAGATGACGCGATTTCAGGCACTTCGCAAAAGCATTTCCAAGTCCATTTTCCAAAGTCGACAGCTGTAAATACACGGAACCTTGCCTGATCGATTTGAAATGCTAATTCCCAGCTTGACTTCCGGTTGTTGAACACTGCATCCTGATCTTGTAACTCCTGACTTCGATAGTCCGTTAAAGTAGACCACTTCGACTAATGGATTTGATCTGATCAAATTCAAGGTATAAAGTTTTAGTTTGAGGTAAGATTAAATATTGGTGGAGGTGCCGGGATAATGTGATAAAATAATTTTCTTGTTAATCTATTTCATTGAAACTGTAATTAACAAGTTATTTTTAAGTAAACTGAAAGTGGTTAAAACTTGTAAACTATTTACCCGGAAAGTTTTAGTGGCTTAAAATTCCTAGAACAATTTAAAACAATTCGGACAAGCCTGGATAAACTTTGAGGAGTGGAACGAAATTCGACCAACCACTCCATATTCAAGGAGGGTTTGAATTTGCATGACATCCTTTAATTAAGTTTATTTTTGCGCAACCCTTTTGTACAAATAAACTCATCGACCAGCCTGAATTATAGACGGTCCGTTTGAATAATTGAACCCGCTAAAATAAATTATACACAACTAGAATGAATGTCAGATTATCCGATATACATTAGTCACAATTTCGAATTCGGTTTCCATTAATGGAATGAACAACAATTCGCTTCGTCGTTTGGTACGAGCGAAAGAACTACAGTCTAATGTTGATAATCAAATCTTACGCTTCACATGGCTTATTATTTCATTATGATATTTCAATCCTTTACTGTCATAAATAAAATTGTATTCGATTAATTCGTTTTTTCATTGCATATTATGGGAAAAAACCAACAACAGTGAAGACGTCAGAACCTACGTCGTTTTGAAATAATTCCAAGACCTCGAGCTTCGTAATCAGATTACCCGCGAATTTCCCGTTCTTATCGAATTACCGTCCCACCAGCCCAAACATAAATAAGAGAAGAGATAACTGGATTATAACCCGCAATTATCTCGCCTCCGAATTCAGCTTTTTCCTTCCACTTTCGTCTAGAAGAACATCTAAAGTCATGCACAACTGTTGCTCTTTTCGGTTATCAAAAAAAAAGATAAATGAAACGATAAAAAGGAAACGTTATACAGGACCTTAGTATAGAAGATATGATGGACGTATTTCCACCCTAAAGGATAACGAAACCAACCCTCCTACGAGGGAAGTATATATAAACACGACCTTTCGCTTATTAAATTTTGCCTCCAGGTTCAGTTGAAATACGTCGCACGATTTGTCACGGCTTATTTTTGGTGGCAACGTGGATTTGTTCTTCTGTGATTAATTATACTTGTCCGAGATAACGTACTGCTTGTCTAAAATGTCCAATGTGTCCAAAGTGCGGCAGGATAGGTCACCGCAATGTGCACTCGCTTGAAAAGTTTTTGGAAGCCGCTATGTTGTGTTATCTTGCGTCGAAAATCTCTTTTTGTAGAGAAGAGCCATCTCTTCGGATAATTTAAACGCAATCGGACGTAAACTAAATCGTAAACGATTTTGCAGCCTTTCAAAAGATATAGCCTAGGCAAGCGTTTTTCATTTCAATCCGACTGCCGCTGCCCCAACAATTTTCGAAATTGCCTTTGCGTTAACTTCCAAGTGCCACGTGTCTACTTCACCGAATGTCAACACGCCGTTGTAGGGGTTTCGGACGTTTAATATCCGGCCCAACGTATTTTTAATATCGGTTTCACCGCAAAGGAGAAATTTCAAAGTATAAAATATAGTAGGAGTAATTCCTTTACAATATCGATTTTAGAAGATTTCTAATGCATGGCCGGACCACAAATCCATTAGGTTAATGCCCTAATCTCGTCGACGGCTGCTCGATGATTTATTGGATAAACACTCGTCAATGTAGACAAACTCGGCTTTACTTGACGACAATGCGGCAATCGATGAACCGTAAACAATGTGGTTTTATTGGTACAACTTCTTTATTGATTACAATATTATCCAAAGTTTAGTAGATTTTTATTGAAAAATATAAGACACACTCAATATACGTTGGTGAAGCGGATTGAGTCGTAAGGGGAGAGATTTTTCCTCGTTATCCCAAAGAATTGGGTCGTTCTAAGTTCGGGTTCCTCGAGAAAGGAACCAGATAGGATTAGGTTAACCGTTGCCGAGTGCAAATAACGACTTACAAGGTTTCGAAATTCTCGCAAACGATATTCGTCCATTTTGTACCAAGAAACCCATGCATCTTTTAATTAAAAACGGAAACGGGGGAACGAAATGGGAGCAGATAAGGGATACCGGTCGTTCTTTGAAGCCCCATAGGACTACTGCTTACGATTTATGGTCCAGTTTCCCACGAAGGCAGTCGTTAAGCACAATCAGCGAAACAAATTGAAATACATTTGTCTGGGTTTGTTTTACTGCAGCTGGAACTCAGATATTCATCTAAACATTGTTTCAAAGGTGGAAGAATTCATTATTGTTAATACGAGATTATGTCGTTAAAATTATGAGTTAATGTCGTAATTTTTTATAGATTCATTCTTCGTGTGCTAAACAAACATGAAAATGCACTTAATTTTGTTTTAATGTACAATTGTTTATTTTTCGTCGTTTTACTGTAGCTAATACTCGCGCAAACGAACTGGCTAAAACCATTAACAAGCGGTGCCAATTAGTCTCTGGATAACTGCGAAACGCTGGAAGTCGGTGCGAATATTTCACGCCTAATATATTCCGGTCGAAAATTAAATTTTAATTCGAGCCTGTTTCCGCCTGGACAGGTTAAAATTATTGGCCCGGGGCGGACGCTACTCTCGGCTCAATTCCCAGCCAAATCCACATCGATCCAAGCTAAAATCCGGCACTAATTAATGGAGTTTTAACAATAGTAATTGCAGAAACGAAACTAAACGAAGTTTAAAACTGTCATACACTGCTGGTGTGTCCAAAACTCTAACTTGGTTAATATTCGCCTCAGGAGCTGGTTTGCGGCGTTAGAAACGCTGCAGTGGGAGTGCCTCACGTACTAAGGAAGTTAGAGGGAGATGGGGTTAACTCGCCCTCCCGTAATGTTTTTTCACTCCATTTCTATCAGCACATCTTCGGTGGTAATCGGAAATGGAGCTACATCGGCGGAATTTCTAAATCCGTGTATCTCTTCGTGCTGGGCAAAGATAAAACCTCGCATAAATTCTTTCGTCCTTTTATATGTCCTGCTGAGTCGGTAGTTGCATCGAGATACGGTTGTAAAGTGGTACCGAAATACGTCCCCAAAATTTGTTTACGACGGACGAGTGCGGTCGCTGGTTGTTGGCAGCCCTGTTTACAATCCTGCTGCGAATTAACGCTTCAACACTCGGTTTACCACTCCACTATCAATTTGAAATGTTAATTCTTTAACCGCAACCGGATATAGCACGATTTAATTTAATTTCAAACATTTATTCCTCGTTTTTTATTTCAAATTTCTTATTCGATCAAAATGAGGGGGTTGTTTTAAAGTTAACCTCGGGATAATTAAAGGTCGGTTTATTTTCGGAGAAGAACCCTTCAGGTGTAATTTTAATCTCGGATACGGACCAAACTTCCAAGAGCAATAATGATCTTTAAAGTATCTATATGTATAACGTTTCTGTTGATTTATATTAACGAAGGATTTATATAAGGTTTATATTAAATAAATAAAATTTATTACAGATGGTTAATCAATAACGAAGTGTGAATCGAGAATTTACTTTAAAAAACTTGTTGATAAGGGATTCGCATGGATTAGACAGGCGTGCCAAAACTACAAGTTGGCAACGTTGTGCCAACACCAGGGAGATATTTAGCACTGGTGGTTTAGAAACGGGCGAGCGGCGAACCGCTAATGTA